ATTTCACCCTCATCAAACAACATATAATTTGGTTTCCCATGTAAATTCTCCCATAGAGAGAAAATATAACCACAGCACACCAATTCTAGTTTGCTTGATAGTCATAACCGTCACTCTGATTGAAGCTTTCATTCTTCTTTAAAATTCCAGGAAAAAGATATTTTTCCCATTTTTATGGATAAAGAAGTTGACGTTTGGCTAATTAGTGGGAGAACTGATTCACCCCCAGATATTATTGACTTTGTACTCCAGCACAATCAGGAGACCCTAAAGCCACAGAAAACATAGAGAGAGATAAGAAAGAGGCAATAGTCTAGTAGCAAATGCTTCAAGGAAGTCAAGAAGGATGAAAACTGAGAAAAACGTCTTTAAATCTAATGGTCTGAGAGACTTCAGTAAAAAAGTGTCAGAAGCCAGACTGCACTACATTAATAAGAAAGATAATAATAAAGAAACAGAGGCATCAAGCACAGAACATTCTTTCAAGAAATCTGGCTACAAAAGGAAGGACAAAATCATAAAGAGATCTTCATTTCAGCTCTAACAGGATCTTTCTGCCACCCATTAAACACTGGGCATATGTCCATTCTACAGGGAGCTATAGGACAAACCAGTGAGGATCCCCCAAACACATTGGTATTCCAGAAAAAGATTCTCTGTAAAATGTATCAGAGTTTGAGATGGGCATCTTCTATTCATTTCTTCGGTGAACAGCCATTTTGGATTCAAACAAATGGATTTTTTAGTGTCTATTTGCTTTTTACTTTCAGAATACATTTTTCATTATGAAAGCCAGTGAGAAAAATACAATTCAGTTTTAGTGTTTTGAAAGTCACTTTTCTGGAAAATATCTATCTGGTTAACTGACAATTTAATAACAAGTTCTCAGAAAGATGGCATATGTTTATATGTGCAATGATAAAATGAATTTTTTCTTTGTTTTAGCAATTAAACTTTTTTTCTTTAAGAGAATGGTGTTTATTTCTCTTGGTGCTCATAATGTTTTAATATGAACTTACCTTGTACTGAGAAATTTTACATTTAAGATCTGAGGTTTCAATCATGGGATCCCTCTCAGTGAATTTAAATACAAGGGAATCCTCAGTCTAGGATTAACATCTGTTTAATATCTAAAAATACCAGAAGCCTCTATCACAGTCAGAAAAATTTATACTTGAGTAGAATTTATAGCAGGGGATAGGAGAACAGTGCATAGCTTAAAGTACATCTCGGAGTTTTAAGTGCTGCTAGAAAAACATTCCTGCCCTTTAGGATACCAGAGGCTAATTTTTTTTTTTTTAATGATAAGGTATATGACAGGCAGTTTTCAGATATCAATGTTTTACTATGTTTAAAAGCTCCAGCTCTTTTCCTTACTGTTCACAGTAACATTATCTGTATATGGAAATGAGGCACACAAGAAATTCTGTCTAGTGATATGAAGCAGAAATGGGTAGCCATACCGTGTTATCTTTTACTAAATTGTAGTTGGCAAATAGAGTGTGCTTTCAGCCGATCTTTTTGGTCCTTCCTACAAAAGTTTGCTAACAATCATCTGCTTTCTCTTTTTCTTTTCTCTCCTTTTCCATCCCAATGTCTGGAGTTTTAGGACAAAGCAAACCATTTTATCTAATTTTTTTTTCTTTTTGGTTGACAGAAAATTCAAACACTTAAATTTGAATTCCTTATGGGGTTCCCCATCATTTTTTACAAATTTCTGGCTCTCATAATTTTTAAAAGATACATCCCTTTAGAAAAGTAAAGTTTTTGATCTTTCAAGTGAAATAGAGCTCCCTACACCCTCATAAGGTACGCTATCTGCTTCTGTAGAATTGCCTGCTTAACCTAAGTAACTCCATTTTGCCCCCTGACTGACCTGCAGACTACCCCCCCTTCTGCATTAGAACCCATTGACCTTCTCATAGAAACAAAAAACAATTGCATAGAAACAGGAGCCATACACAGTGAATTATTAAATGGGAACAGAAACCATAGACAATGAAAACTTGTATGCTTGACTGCTCAAACGGCTCATTCTTGGCCTTTGTGACCTAGCTCCCTAGCTTGCTTTGTGCACCTGGACAAACCTGTGTGCCAACGGGATGTAGTTTTTGCCTTTAAAAACCCTACAAAACCAAAGCCCAATGCTGCTCTTCCTTGGTTGCCCCTTGGGAGACAGTCGCTGGTCAGCTGTAGAGAATAAACTGTCCTTTTCTGCACAAGTGGTATGTAAGTGCATTTCTTGTGGGAGAGTGTCTTACAACACAAGAGTCCTGCATTAAGCAATAAAAGTTGATTTATTATGTTATATATACACCATGGAATACTACTGTGCCATAAAAAAGAATGAAATTCTCTCATTTGCAACAATGTGGATGAGCTTGGAAAAACTTATGTTGAGTGAAATAAGCAAAGCACAGAGGGATAAATACTGCATGTACTCACTCATAAGTGGGAGCTAAGAGAGAAAGAAGGAAGGAAAGAAAGACCTCAGTGGTGTGTTGAACTTGCAGAGGGAGAGAACATACCTAGCGGTACAAAGTGGAGTTGGGAAAGGGGGTTGGGGAGAGAGATCGGGGATAATTGGAGGGATAATTGGGTGGGGGACATGGGGTATCATCACAACTTGTGGTAATGGGCATGCTGCCAGTATTGATCTGGCCATCACATCTTAGGCACAAGTGGTGACAATTTGCTTTGTACCCCATGAAAAAAAGTTGATTTATGCTCTGTGATAGCATCATGTTTATATCACTGAAACACAATATAAATTAACATTATCAATACCCTTTGTACAATCCTACTTTTTTCTTGATTCAAAATATGAATTAGTTCTTGTTTCAATATACTTATGAATAAGGAACTCTTTAAAGTGAATATGCTTGTTATTGATGTGTAGAAAGAGAAGGAAGGAAGGAAGGGAGGGAGGGAGGGAGGGAACTAGAATTAATAGTCAAATGCCTGGATGGTCACAAAGCGGCAACTTTATTTCTGCTCCAAAACATGTAGGACTTCCAGCATTGGTTATACGGAATCAGGATGATTTTATAAATGAAAAGAATATTCTTTGGCATCAGAATGCTTGGATTTGAATTCTAGTCCTATCCCTTATCAGATGTATGACCTTGGGCAACTTACTTAATTTTTCTCTGCTTCAGTTTCCTTATCTGAAAAATAGGATACTAATGGTATCTATCTCATAAAATTACTATAAGGATTAAACACTACAACACATGTAAAGAGTTACAAGTCCTAGCACATTCTAAGAACTCAATATATGTCAGTTATTTTCACTTTTCTTATCATCATTATGTTCCTTAAAGCCCTCATATATAGTCACCTAATACACTAAGAGTCATGATTTTCTTTTCATATTATGGCCCTGTAACTTTTTTCCTCTAATGTTTGTCCACATTCTTCTACTTCCAAAATTTTGTTCTGTTTCAAAGTTTGCCCCATAAGCAATCAAGAACGTGGGCTATGCACCACAGGAAGTGCCCTGGGCTCTCCCAAGCCAGGGCGTTGTGGGACTGAGGGCCTCGGCCATGCCCCCTGCCAAACACCCACAGCCAGCCCAGAGATGACCACTGAGCTGTGGAAAGAAAGGCCCCGGGTTCCCGAGTTGGGGAGGTGGGAGGCAAGAGCTTTGGCCACACACCCCTGACATCTACACCCTGCCCAGCAATGACCAATCCACCGCTGGAAGCTCCCTGGTCTCCCCTGTGGGAATGTGGGGGGTGTCACAGGCCTCAATCCTGCCCCTCCTCCTTCCTCCTTCTCCCATCACATTTTCTTCCCCTTTCCCTATCTCCTGCCCTCTCAATTGCTTTGCAACATCATAGAATGTAAAAAAACCCTAATAATAAATAAATAAATAAATAAATAGTTAACCCTGATAATAAATAAATAAATAAATAAATAGTTTTCTGTAATTAAAAAAAAAAAGAAAACTTGGGCTATAAATCTCAGCCAAGAAACTTTTTCCTATCCAGTAAGACCCTAATAATAAATAAATAAATAAATAAATAGTTTTCTGTAATTAAAAAAAAAAGAAAACTTGGGCTATAAATCTCAGCCAAGAAACTTTTTCCTATCCAGTAAGATATACTAATATTTACTGGATACCTAAGAGCAGATTATAAGAGAGAAATCTTATTTTTAAAATAAAGAAATAAATTTTTGCAAGTTTCCAGAAATAAATTCTACCTATAAACCAGATTCAATACCCATATTTAAATATTACCATATTACTAAAATTATTTAATATATTTTTTAAAAAACAAAAAAAGTAAAAAGCCAAATTCTTTTCTAAAAGGGAAACATTAGCTCTGTGGTTCTCTGACTTTTTGATCAAAAGAAAAAAAGCCATTTAAAACTTAAATTTCATTGCAGCCATATTCTTCTAATACCAAAGACAAAACTGGACATGAAAAAAAGTGAGAAATGGGAAAAATGAGGTATGTAATCCCCTAGGGAAGAATTGATAACACTTACATGACTGGACAATTAGCAGACTGCTCTAAGGGTGAGGGGCCAGGACAGAGCATGTCTGTCTGCCCACTTGTCTTTTCAGTACAATAGTTCATTTCTTAATTGAAAACCAATAAAAGAGCTTTCAGCTACCAGAAGTGGGAAAAGGTGGGATGGGGGTTGGGGGAGAGGGTGGGAAGGAAAGTTGGGCTAGAATAAAATTAAGGGGAGGTGTTCCAGACCGATTTTGATAGTTCTAGATCAACTAAGAAACAAAAAAAATTATTCTGTACAAGGAAGGACTCTCCTAGAGTTCCCAAAGCAGAGACTAAGAAATGGTCATTGTTGAGCCCCAAGAGCAGTGCGTACATATTCCTTCCTTATTCTTTCATCAGTTTACAAATGTCTTCAATACTTTTACCTAGATTCCATATTGGCTAGGTTGGCCCACAGTTCAGAGTGGGCATAAGTAAGCTCCCGCAGGGCCTGTGGTCACTCTGTCCTATCCTGTGTGAAGTGAATAGGCTTACCCATACTCATCTTGATGGGCAGACTTTCTCTGCTTGCTGCTTCCACTAGATGTCTCCGAACTTCCATCACTGCCTCTTTGTGCTTGGTGTTTAGTAAGGCTTCCCACAGGGCTTTGGCTTCTGTATCACTGCAGTGAAACCACAAAAAGAGCTTTAGAATAAATTTCTACGGGATAACGGAAAGGGCTGAAAGCAAAATAATTTCTTAAGTATCATTTTTGAGCACTAATATAGTCTTTCCTATTGATAGACTAAGTATTAGGATCAAATAAAGACTATCGAATTCATTTAATTGGCACAAATTATTGAGAAATTGAAACAATGAAATCAGGCCGGAAAAGGTTAGAAAAGCTATATTGTGCCATGAGAAGTGTGGGAAAACTATATGATAAATTTTTTTTAAGATTTTGAACTTAAAGTATTTCAGATTGCCGTTCAACATTGCTAGAATAAGATAAATATTATATAACCCAAAATTAAATGTACATCTAAAAATGATTATCAGTGAATACAAGCAGTATATCAGTTCAAGAAAATATTCTTGTCTAAAATATACAAAGCAATCAGCAATGAGAATTCCTGTTCAAAAATTATTCAATAGACTCCTAATTCGCAGGCTTCTCATTGAATGAAAATCAGGAACTATACTAAGTAACCATGGCCTGAAGTGTCCTTCTTTGGGCCTTAGGTTAGAAGGATGGCACTTACTGAAGCCTTTACAATTAACCTTTGAAAATAGCACGAAGCACTGCATTATGCATGGTCTCATCTGGACTCACTTCCCCAATAGCCCTCTGTCTCACCCAACATGCCATGTCCAAATTATAAATGAGTACAGTGTTCTTTCC